GTTAAATGGGTAGCCAACTCTTGACTTAATGACAATCCTTATCTTCTTGTCTAAACAAAACATTATTGTTAACATTAGAATTCGAACAAACTTAAATCATGAAAGTTCTAGAAAATTATCTCAGCTTTCTAACAGAAAAAATTAAGGTCATTTGGACTTTTAGAACTCAAGATATGGGCAGAACACTAAATAATATATGGGTTACAAGACAGATTCAAACTTCTTTGTTGTTGCTAAAATTTGGACTTTCAAACAACAGAATTAAGTCTTACATTCCCATAAATGTTTTAGACCTATGTCTTAGCTTTCTAACCATATAAACCAAATTGAAATCCAAGATATATAACTCCAGATATGACTCAATGACTGAATAGTGTTTCAATTTGAACCGAACTAGCATAATTTTTCTAAGCTTCACCCTCTCTTTGTTTTCTCAATTTTAGTAGTTGAATTCATTAATCAATCCTTTGATTTATGTGATAGACCTGCATTTAAGATGAATATTTACTATAAATTAAAGTTACTTTATAGTATCAGACTTGTTATTATAAAACATGCTTTAGTTAAGGAGTTATTAATACTTCAAGTGCAAAATATTGATATAAAACCTTGATAAAAATGCACTTTTAAGTATTAATTAACTTTTATAGCCAACGGTATGGTATACCCTACACTTGTGCTATGAAAGAAACTTGAATTATTATTAATATACGTTAGCATCATAAATTCCTGATAATATTTAAAAGTTTGGTGTTACTTAAATAAGATAATTAATATGATCATGTTAATAATTTATAATGTGTTATTAATGACAAATCATATGATTGGTACCTCATTTGTGTGTGGTTTCAAGTTGAGTAATAAAAAAGTTTATATTATATTTATTTTTAATATCATTAGTAGATCCTCTAATCTTGACATTTATTTTTTATCATTATATAATCCTCATATTAATCTTACATCTCAAAGTTCTCTTTAACTTATTATTATTATTATTACTATTATTATTGTTATTATTATTGTTATTGTTGTTGTTGTTATTATTATTATTATTTGTAATTTATTGTTGTTGTTGTTGTTATTATTATTATTATTTGTAATTTATATAGTTCACTTTCATATGATTCAATCTTGGTCTTGCCAGATTATTTATTATTTTAACACTCCTGCATTTGAGATAAGACATCAACCTTTTAATTGTGTCAGAATCCATTAAAACCTTTAAACCACGTCCAAAATCACATAGTGTAGCTTATCTAAGGTAGGATGTGCCAATGGTGCTAATATCTTTTCTAGCCATAACTAGTTCTTTACCTTCAAATCTCTAATAAAACCAATGCACCTAGGTTTTCTAGTGATCCTGAACTAAACAACTAGGTAGTAACTCTTACAACCCTCGATGTCGCGCGTCCACGTGTGACAATGAGTATTACCTTGTGGTGATTGTTATATGTTTTTCTTTTTCTATGAGAAAATTTTGTCAATATTCAAGGAAGCTTAGGCTACAAAAAGAAACACAAAGGAACTGAAGGAAGTCACATGAGAGGAAACCAATGTCTTAAGCAGTTTGTAATATAAACATTTATCCTTTTCTTTTTAGCTGGTATGGCAGAAGGAAGTAATGGCTTGCTAGCACATTTTATTTGAGGAAGAACACATGTTTGCTTGGGCTGAGGAGTTTTTCTTTTGAAATTAATGTCGCATGTCATCCGTGCGATGTTGGCTAGTGATTTTTTGTTATCTTTGCTTTGGGGTCTTAGGAGTCGCCACATAATATTTCATTGAGGGCTACTAAGAAACAGATGCCCTGTTCTTTGTCATATATTTAAGATAAGGGACTAATTGTGGCTAGGGAAGGTATTAACACTCCTAGCGCACCCCACCTAAAATAAGCTACTTTATGGTTTGATGTGATTTGAAAATTTAAAATATTAATCAAATTCTAAGGCTTTAATAATTTAAAACATGTTCTTACATTTTCTTGGAAAATATAACATAATTTTATTTGTCCTTAGATATTTAACCATATTCAAATTAAATACTTCATTCTTTTTTTGTTTTTTTTTAATTTTTATAAGTAAACAACATAAATAAATAAAAATACAAACACATACTTCTGACATCACTTTTTACTATGTTTTTTTGTTACAATTTTTACAACATAACATAAACCAAAAACATTTAACAGAAATTTAAATACATATTCCAACATGTAAAAATTACAGAAAGGTCCCTAAAGAGTCTAGGAACTACATGAGTTATTAAATCTTAGAATATATGCAGAAACATGTTCTTACATTTTCTTGGAAAATATAACATAATTTTATTTGTCCTTAGATATTTAAACATATTCAAATTAAATACTTCATTCTTTTTTTGTTTTTTTTTAATTTTTATAAGTAAATAACATAAATAAATAAAAATACAACCACATACCTCTGCATCACTTTTTACTATGTTTTTTTGTTACAATTTTTACAACATAACATAAACCAAAAACATTTAACAGAAATTTAAATACATATTCCAACATGTAAAAATTACAGAAAGGTCCCTAAAGAGTCTAGGAACTACAAAGAAGACCCTCAGGAACTGTGAAGCAGTGGCGACATGTCTCCTCTACGTGCGGCCATCACTGGCGGCGCGTGGGCTCATGTGTCGCCGCAAAATCAAATGACGGGGGGATCTGTTATAGCTTCCTCCCCTCTTCGCTTTCCTCGCCGGTTGTGAGCAACACCGTTACCTGCAAAACACCCAAAAACACAAGCAAAGTTTCTGGTTCTCTTTTTTTCTCGATTTGCTTCTCACTCCTTCCCTTTTTTAGATCTAGTTCTTTTAGATATGTTTTTCCTTTTTTCATCCTCTTTCTGGTGGCTGATGGCTCTAGGGGGAGGGTTGAGGCTGCTGTGCTAGGCCAAGGTGGGTTCTACCGAGCCTGGATTGCTGGCGGTGGCCTCGCTGGGGCTGGAGCGACGAGTGTCGCTGCTGTGTTCGGGCTGTTACTAGGGGCTCTGATCCGGCCTCGATGAGCTGGCCGGTTGGCAATGAAGGAGATCGTCTGCTGCTGAGGGGAAGGCTTCAGTGCTAACTTTATGTTGATGAGAGGAAGAAGGGACAATGTATGGGGGCTACTTCGGGTGTAGGGGAGAAGGTCTCTGGTTTGCCTTTTACAAGGCAAAGGGGGAAGAACGACACTTGTGGGTTTTTTCAAAGTCAGGGAGGGGCGGTTGCAGAGAAGATAGATTTTAGGTTTTTTCTTCCCCCTCGACCCCCCTCCCACCCTTTTTTACTCTAGACTAGTATTTAGAGGCAAAATTTTGCTATATTTTTAAACTAGTCCTTCAATTTTTCTTTTTATTCATTTTTTTGTAAATTTTAATTTTTTTAATTTTTTGATATTTTTGAAAGCGAGCAATATCAATATCGATTTAACAAAAAAAATCGGTGATTGTAAAATTAACCCGTTAAAAGTTCAATGCGTTCAAAACACCTTTAAAAGTTTAAATTTTTTTGAGAAGGCATTAAAAATACTAAAAACAATGCAAATATATTAAAAAAATATTTTTTAAGTTTTTTATTGTTTTTTACTATTTTTTATTTTTCTAAAACTTTATCAAAATTATAAATAAAAAATTAGATAGTAACAATTAGCATGCCCCTTAATTTTTCTTTCTTTAGGCATGAGAAAGGGCATCCTTTATGTCTGTTTTTCCCTTCACAAAAAAAAATCTAAAAACATTTTTTTTTTTTTTTTGCATGTTTTAGGATTTGTTTTAACATTATTACAAAAATTAAAAAGAAATATTTTGCATGTATATCTAGATTTAATAATAAATTTATTAAGCTTATTGAGATTTAACCCAAATTAAAAGGTTTATTAGGCCTATATATTCAGATTTCAAATAAAAAAAAAAGACTTCACTTTGTTTTTCTCTCATGAATAAAAAAACAAAGGAGTATTTTGGTACTTAATTCTAATGTTTAAGGATAATGGACTCACCAAAAGCCATTTCCTGACAAAGAAAAAAGTTCTCTAATTTTTCAAATAATTTTTTTTTCAATTAAAAAAGAATGAAGTATATATATTTATGGGCACTACAGTTAAAAATATCAATTTAAAACAATATTTATCAATTTTAAAATTAAAAATATTATTATAAAATTCGCTGATATTAGATTTAAGAATATTGATTTCAAGCAATATTCACTAACGTTAGAATTAAAAATATTTTTAGTTTAATATTTACTAATATTAAAGTCAGGAATATTAGATTTTTTTTCTTATAATATTTATAAATATCAAAATCAAAAGAACTTTTAGTTAAATATTCACTAATACAAAAATTATAAATATTAAAAGTATACTATAGGCAGCAAAACACAACAATGGTTAATAATTTAAGATGAATAATACAATTTATTTCAAGTATGGCACTTAAGAGTAATGAATTAGGATTTTTTTTATTAATTGTGATTAATATTATTATTTTTAAATAAGGTTTAAATTCGAGTACTTTTGAAGGAGGATGTTAAATGTAAGGGGACTCCATCGCCACACGTAGATGGAGTTGCTGAATTCCGTTCTCCATGAAGTTACCAATATTACCTGGTTGGACTTGGACCGGATGGGTTATATATTTGAATCATTTGGGCTAGTAATGTATGATAAATGTAGCAGCAAGCCTCGTATAATTGAGGGGCATCAATTATGCCATGGCATTTTCATATTTTATTCCTTAGTCAATTGCAGAAGTGGAGAACTGGAGAAGAACATAGTGATAAAAGATCAAAGATCGATAATGAATTGAAAGGTTCATTTTATATTTAATGGGGCACCAAATATGTTCCCTTCGTGTTTTCACATGTTGACTTACGTGAGTTCACCAACTACAGAAATTGGAAAACAAAATCAAAATTAGACTTGTAGAATTCCAATATGTAGTGTATAACTAATGTAATTCAAAGAATCTATAACAAAAAAATTGAATGGTGGTATCACCTTAAGGTATATGATACAATTTAGAAGGTTTAAGATTGCTAGTAACATTGAAATACTTCAATGTCTGAATCCACTTCTCTTGGTTCTTCAATAGATGAACCGCAATTGTATCTGGCCAAAGCTCATGTGTGCATTTTGTAGGTGGCTCAGGAAAATTGTACATAGACCACTTGGCATTATACCTGTTCTTCGCACGATGACCTTCTCGGATCCAATCACCAAAAACTTTATCCTCTGGTCCTTCCATGTGATGTTTTGGTATCTCAGAATCTCTAATCCACTCTACAATATCCCATGTGATCATATATCCCATGCCAGACATATAATGCACGAAAGGGTCCATGCTAGAGCATGGAATAACATAACCATAGTACAAATCTTTTCTAGGTAATGGTTTTAGTGACTCCACTAAATTATCTAACCGAAAATATGTGTCATCATCTGTTTTCATAACATAATGATAGGGAGGATAAGGCGTATCTGTGTCATTCAATATTTCTGGCAAGCTTGAAAAGTAAGTGTAGGTTTTACCCTTGTTCATGTTCTCCTTGCAATCCAGGATGATAATATCATCATACCGCATTATCTCAAGAGCAACAAGTACCTTTTGATCTTCCTTGGTTAGATTGCAAAACACAAACTTCACGTCAACTTGTGCACCCACCGGAGATTGTGTGCCATATATGAGACGCAGAAAATGGCGTCGGTGGTATTGGTCAGGAAGCGTTAGGATGCCTATGAGTATGCGAATATCACTAGAGGTAGAAGAATTCAGAGCAAGAAAATTGGTAGAAGATAAATTAGAGGATTGAGATGGAATGTTGGCAAGAGCACATCTACCAAAGCTTAGCAGACTAACAAATCGAAATTCGTTGATGGAAGCCAAGACACATAAGAACAAGATGAAAAACAAAGAGGAGAGAATGAATCGGTGCCGGTATGGCCTTGAGGAACTCTTCATTGTTTTTTGTTCTTGAATTACTCACTTTGGTTGTTAATTTGATAGGTATGGTTTAAGGGTAGCTCAGAGTTATGTAGTGATGATATTAATAAATTCCAAATTTTCTGAGATACAACGTATAAATTGGCAATTTCGTGCTATTTAGACTACCATATTGACTTTTATTCCACTAAGGAAGGTATTGATCAAAGGGGGGAAATTGCATACTATTGGTATACCATTATGTCCTTGGATCTTGGTACAAACTATGCGTTTTCTTTTCATGCCATACGGTCAATGTCAAGTGGTTTAAAGTCTATTTCATACATTGGCTTCTTCTTAATTTTCCATGAATAAATGGCTTGTACTCTACGTTTGTACCTGTAAAAATAAAATACAAATATAAAATTTTAGTGAGGGATTTAGCCTAAAGTCGTTGGTCAACTTTTCGTAACTAGGTATCTTTGCATGAACATGTTCGGCTTCAAGACCTCTTCAACTGACGTACCGCTCACCACACTTGAATCCAAAGCAATGCCATTGACCCCAAGAATCATATAGTTTCGAGTGATCTGCAGGAAAGCACTACCGTAATTGATGGATATGAGCATCAGAAAGCTAGTTGTCAATGCCCTTTGATAAGTTCATTTTCTTCATCTGTAACCTACTAAGCAATGATTTAGCATAGCTAGTTGTTTGCCAGATTCTAATGCATTTACATCTTTATCAATTCTAACAGTGTTAACAGAGTGAAAAAAAAAATTACGTATGAGTGTTCTTAGTGGAGATAAACAGCGAGATCGTTTCAATAAATTTTACCCATTTTCGCTAACAATGATGCTACGTGTGTCGAAAGATGGAGCACCGATCCTTCAAACACATTTAAAATTGTCATGTAATGCTCATCTCAAAAAAAATATTTATGTTTTCTGAAAGGTAAAACCCTTAATTTCATTCGTGTGTTTGTGTCGAATGTTTGTTTTTAATGTTATGTTTTTAATTTGATCAGTTAATTGTTTTGTTCTTTTAATTTGTTTAATTAACCCTGGACTCTTTTTTCTAACATACAGTAAATTATTCAAATCATGGTAGTGTGCAGTAGTACGGGTCCGTGTTAGGTTGGTAAAGTATTGATTGTGTCTTTGTCAAAAATTGTTTCTATAACTAATTTGGACCGGTCTAATATTCAATTAGTTGATTTTAGGATTGTACATGTGTTTTATTATTTTATAACAAAAGCATTTTTAAGTTTTGTATACACATGTTATCATCCATTGTAATTTTTCTTGTTTAGCATTGAATAAATTTTTATAAATTATGATTTTATTTATATTTTTTATTATGTCATAACTCGATTTTGAATCCCCAAAAATCTCTTTTTAAAAAAAACAAATATTTCAGAAAAAATCTAAAAAAACTATATATATGTTGGGTAGACATTGATAATCTACAATAAATCAAGACATCACAAGGACATGCAATTTGAGGGCCTTACTAAAAGAAAATTGAAAAAAAACATTGAATTTAGTCTTGATTGCACAAATTGAGTTTGAGGATCAATATAGACAAGTTTGCTAAGTTTGGTAGTTATATTGCATTATTAATGGTGCAATTGAAGATAAATATTGAAGATTGAGGTGAAATTGCAAAAATTGGAAGAGAGAGGACCCAATTGAAAGAGTTGGAAAATTGGAATGGCTTAATTAATGAAATCAAAGGCCTAATTGCAAATAAAAATAAATATTAGGAGTCAAATTAAGTAAAATCAGAAGAATTAAAATTCTAGAGACTAAAATGAATAGTTTCTAAAATTAAGGGCTTAATTGACTTAATTAGGGGTGAAATTGAAAGAATTAAAAGTTTATAGGTTTAATTGAGGGCTAAAGTAAGAAATATGAGACCAAGGATCATTTTGTAAGGTGTGTGGAAATCTAGGGCTCAATTGAAGAAGGTTAGGGGTGAAATTTTAAGGATTTTCAAATTTAAGGTCTCAATTGCAAAGTTTTAAGAGTTTTAGGGACAAACTGAAAGGATACCATGATTTAGGTAAAACCCTAATTTTCCTTTTTGTGTGACCTATCATTTTAATTTTAACCATAAACCCTAAATGGCATGTCATTCATCCTCATCTTCCTCTTATAATAGCCTATATCCAAACTAAATCTTTATATTAGTTTTTTTGGCATATCTTCCCAACTCAGCCTCATCCTTAAAAGCAAAATACATTATCTTTCACTGCAAATTATTTATCTAACATTAAACATACCCCACCAAGCATTTATAATATTCATTTATTTATAATGATCCTAAAGCTGACTCTATTGAAATAATGGTTTTTTAAACAATAATTTTATCGTGCTATAAAAGGAGTAGCTTTAATATTGATAAACATGAAAATCAATTCATTTTAATTTTATGTAAAACTTAAAATAACCTAAGATAAATAAATAACTTTGTTAGTGAGAAAAAAACATGACTTGCATGAGATGATCGACTTTCCATTCTACAATAATATTTCCTGTATATCCATCTATTTCCAAACGGATTCCAGCTCCTCTACCCATATTAGATGAGCTTTGGTTGGTATATGAGATGTCTTTTTAAGTACCTCTAATGATCGATACCTAAATTAACAACATGTTCATGATCAACGACACCACTACTTGATAAAGCAAAATTACTCTTGTTAGACTTTGAACTTTTTCTTCTTTGAAACATGGTAACTAAAAGAAAACAATTAACAAAAATCAAAATGTTCATCAAGATAATAATTCCACTAATTCATAATAACATACACAAGTATTTTAATGAAATTTTGACAAATTTTTCCTTGCATAGAACCTACCTAAAATCTTGACCATCATTAATACACATCTAGTATGGCTTCCATAACAAAAAGAAAAAAGGATTGAAGATTACTCATCATTTTCTTCTTTTTTTCATGATTATAAGTTACACCCATTTCAATATACATTAATGTATCAAATACAACACATTTGCATCATGCATTAGACTTCATATAATATCCATGTTGGTACTTCAGATTTTAAATATGCTGAAGTGGTTAGTGAATTACAAGTATGCATAAATTAAAAATAAATTACTCAAGCTAATAAGTCAATCAAAATATATTTTAGAAGATTACTTGATTTCTTTGAAGTATTTATTTTTCACAAAGAGTATAAAGGAATTCTAAGTGTAAATGCAATTGGCCCTTATTAAAAATAAAAGAAAATAAATTCATCAAAATATTATTTGGCCTAACTTCAAAGTAAGGTTAGTGAGTCAAACCCTATTCATTTCCACAATCAAAGTAAATTTTATAATTAAAAAAATAAATTATTCTACACCTTAAATTATTCTAAAAAACCTCAATTCAAAAACAAAAAATAAAAAGCCTTAAATTTTTCTAAACCCTAAATTAAAAGGAATAACTAAACATAAGGTCATAAAGTCTAAAAACTCAATCTCCACCCCACCTATCATTTTATCACCTTCTCATAAAACCCATTAACTAAAAACTCTTCTCAAAATCCATAAAAATCAAAAAGATGTCACAATAACTATATCTTTTTCTTAGACCAACTACAAAAACAATAAAAAATAATCCAAAACAATAAAAACCAAAGAAAGTGTGAGCAAGATACTTATTAGAGAGGGATCGAGGGATCGAGAAATACTAAGCAACTAATATAT